TTTCTGATTTTCCGTATGTTTTAAAGCTAACTACTGTGCATGTTAATCAGTCAATACATCAGATGTTCAGTCTATCAAAAAAGCGTTGCAGTAGTTGTTTTTAGTTGTGCCAAAAATCTAAAGGGTATTTTTCAGAATTGACTGAGCTATTTCAGGGAGTCAAAATTGTCAGAAGTAAGATTAAAAAAAAGAGGAAGAAACGAGGATATCTTTCGGGAAGTTCACTGCCTGGGCCAATTAGACAAGAACCTGTTTAGCCTAAAATTTGAAACAGATCCTTATTTAATAACACTGTTTTAAAAACATTTTGTACACTTGGAAAATAAAAAAGTCAACATTCTGCACGATCACGTTTGGAGACATAGGTGCTTTATCAATCCAACTGGAATATATTGGTATGCAGTGATTTTATGTAATAATAAGCTGAACACAACTAAATACTCTTCGTAGCTACAATGTATTTTTTCTTTCAGAAAATCAGAAGAACCTATTTAAGAACAGAAATCGCCTAAATTGAGGCCCTGCCAGGGGGGGCTCCCATGTCGCTCGTCTGAATTTTAAAACGTCTCGTGTCGGTGTTTATTAATGCTTCACGTCGCTGTCGGAAATTGAACGAAAATTCTTTGTCTTTGTCGGAATTTTAGAAAAGGGGGATAGCGATGGGTTTTAAAGAAACCATTACAGTTGAGCAATTTCTCAGTTAACCTTTCGCGTATAGAACACCTATACATCGCCATTCACAATTAAGGGTGTGTTCCTTTCGGTGAATCCAGAAACGGATTTGGATCTTAAAACGGATTTCACTTTCTTTTCGGCAAATCCAAATTCGGATTTTTGATCTGGTGAATCCTTTTTGAAAAAGGATTCACATTGGATTTGAAATCCGAACAATCCGAATCCAGATTAACGGATTAGTCATCTACGCTGTTCCATTCACAGTGGATTCGAAATAAGTCAGATGATCCAGCTGTACTTCCAGTTGAACTAGTATTCCCGTAGAGTTTCCTAATTGCTGCCATTTGCCGTAAAACATCTGAAAACACTAGAAGATTGTTCATGGTGGTACAGTAAAATGTCCATGTGCTGACCATTTGTCGCTAAAGATTGCTTAAAAACGCAAATAAGTAAAAGGGACAAATAACTGCTATCTTTCTACAAACTCGCTCTTGGACGCGATAGGCACTCGGTCGTGTTACATAGAAAACCGAGCTACGAAACTGGATCAAACTGAGCCGACAACATTTAGATAATTTTCAACTTTAACACGGTACTTTCTTGATCTGTTTATGTTCCATCGTCGTTATTCGAACTGCCGACCACAAAACTCTGCACGGTATAATCGCATAATTTGTCAAACAGTAGAAAACATGTCATTTCTTGAGAGGCTCAGGCTGTCATGCATATTGCACGCGTTTGCGAAAGGATACCAAGGTCACAAATCCAATTTCGGATTTCACGTTCCTTTCGACCGCGAAATCCGGCAAATCTCGGATCAGAAATCCGTTTTTGGATTCGCTTAAAGGAACACTGTCAGCACACCCTAAGTGATCCACGTTCAACATTTTAAGACTAACTGACCTGATAAATCGTACGTGAAGGCCGGTTAACTGTGGTCTACGCTGTGCGGTGCTTAAGTTACCTGGTCCCTGGTCTCTCCACCGTCGTCACCGTCCGACAGAGGTCGACAAGGATATGAGAAGTTCAGAAACACGCAAAGTGTTCACCATTTTCACATGGACCATAATTCACCTTGTTTACCCCCCAAAACTTTGCATAACCATTTTTTTCGATTTCTCTTGGGACGACTGTAATACCCTGGAGAATTTGGAAACATTGGTTATGCAAAATTCTGAAGGGGAAAACAAGGTGCGTCATGGTCTATATGAAAGTAGTGATTACAAGAGATGTAAAGCGTGCGTAAATTAAGCTATTTGACGGACAACCTAGTCCCAAGGTCTCCCAGGAGTTGTGCGGGGTTGCGTAAATGAAGACTACGCGACGGGCCAACGCGACGCGCTCAGGAGGGTCTACTGAAACTCCCTGACGAGAGACAACCTCTGAAGCGCAAGGAAAATTGACGAAAATTACTTCTTCTTGGCACTCAGACTGGTGATAAATTAGCCAAACCACCGTTCTTTGTCGCATATTCTCGGCTTTGCCGTCACTGTCGCAATTTGGCCGAGGGAGGTTGTCGCTTGTCGCCATTTCGTTTTAGGCTCTGTCGCTACTTTTTGGGTCATGTCGCTTGTCGGAATTTACCCTGGCAGGGCCTCTAAATTTGTGCTAATTACCATTTATGTAAACCTGTTTTGGCTAATTTGGGAAAATGCAGCTTCTTAGTCGCAGGTTTTTACTGAATAACCTCTAAAGTTACACTGATAAAGATTTTGAATGGCAAATCTGTCGCATGCAAAATTGTCCAAAAATTACTGTGCAGAGAACATGAATGATTGTCTTCATTCGTCAAATTAACACGTCAGTGCCCTTCAAACTTGGTTCAACTTGTATCTCAAAGGAAGTTGAAAACAGTTCTTATCATTCGCCGGTTTTCAAAATAATTGCTTAACGTCATGAAGCCTTCCAACTCGTTTTAACTTGCAACTTAAATAAAACAAAAGGAGTACATGGCTCCTTTCAATTTGTCAATTAAGACCGACTGCTTTACATGTAACCAATAGGAATACTTCTAGTAACTTACATTTAACAATCTTTCAAACTTGTCTTAAACACGTTTTTATGTAAAATTGGTCAAAATAGGACATAACATCCTTGGTAATGTCAAAAAATTTATCGTTCGTCTTGGGATCACTACAGTCGTTCAAGCAAGGTAAGACTTGAGTCAATGTTTCCAACAATCTTTCAAATCAAACTAAAATACTCAGTTTAATTAAACGATTGCTTGGAGTTCTTTTCAGTCTGGTTTCAATTTGAACTGTTTCTTTTCACGAAATACTAAATGTAAGGCTTACTGCTACTAGCCCTGTTTTGTTGTGTGTGTGTGTGTCGCTAACGTTCTATCATAAGCGCTAAAATCATAAGCGAGCGTTTCAACGAAATGTCGAAGAGTTTTAAGCGTCCGTGGAAGTCCGACAGATAATTGCAAAGACATGGTATAATGTTCTCAAGTAATGCTAAAAGCTAGCCTGAAATTGATGAATGAAACTGATTTTTTTTCTCCCCTAAACAAATCATAGTAACTTCGCCACACATCATCAATTCGCGTTGCTTGTTACCTGCATTTTGAAAAAAAATGTTAGCAAATCATTGAAAGCGATGCCTTTATTATTTGGCCATGATTTTGAGGCTTCTTCTGTTTTCACAGGTTTCCTCATCATGCAAACCTCTATGAAGATACCGCTTGTTACTGTGTTATGCGGGCTGCTCTTACTGCTGACTAACTTGTGTTCTGCAAATGACAACAACAGCAGCAAACCACGTGACAAGGTGAGTTTGTTTACTGGCAAGCATTGTAATATATAGCTTTAATATATGAGAAGTGAAAGTCAGTCAATGGTACCTGAACTATTAACCTGAAAGAACTTAGTGAGGTAGAATGAATGAACGGTGATTTTTTAATTTAAGGATGCTTGACTGAGGTTGATTGATTGACTTAATCAATTGATCATGAATTTATAACGGAATGAATTTTTAAATTTTTCATTTGGAGTATTCCTCAACAGACTTCACCTTATGGTTCGTGTGGTGATGGTGGGTGTTTCTGTGCACCAGGAATTCCAGGCATCCCCGGGAGCCCTGGACCCGCCGGACCAGCAGGTACCGCGGGATCACCCGGTAATCATGGGCCTGAAGGACCCATGGGCCCACGAGGAAACAAAGGTGATGAAGGAGCTCGTGGAAAACCGGGACCATCAGGCGTCAAAGGCGTTAAAGGACCTGCAGGCCCAGAAGGTCCACATGGGGACAAAGGTGAAGCAGGTTCAGCTGGTACCCCTGGAAACAAGGGTGATACAGGTGCTCGTGGAAAGCAAGGTCCCCCTGGCCCCAAGGGACCTCAAGGACCCTCAGGTTCAGCTGGTTCCCCTGGAAACAAGGGTGATATAGGTGCTCGTGGGAAGCAAGGTCTTCCTGGCCTCAAGGGACCTCAAGGACCCTCAGGTTCCTTTGGTTCCCCTGGAAACAAGGGTGATACAGGTGCTCGTGGAAGTCCAGGTCCCCCAGGTCTCAAGGGTGCTCGAGGATCGTTTGCTCGTAATTGGAAACAGTGCGTTTTTAAGAAAATGTACGATGACAGGGACTCCGGATTGATAAAGGTAACAACGGAGTTGGTTGTGCTAGTTTTTATAAATCAAGCCAAAGCAAACTAATAAGTCTGACTTTGAAATTTGCCTTATTACGTGTAAAGCTCATTGGTTAAGTTCTTTGGGAAAAAGATGCGTGTTTCTAAACTTGTGCGAACTACACTATTCACGGAATGCTACAAAATGCAGGAAAAAGGTCCAAAAACAAGATCAGTTTCAGATATACGTATATCTTTTGGTCTGAATTTGAGTGAAATACGTCATGGCCGACTATACTACTTAATTGTTCCCAAGGTCCAAGCTATCTAGTGCAGTTAAGGGTAAAATCATTACAAAAGTAGAATAACCAGCTCTAGCCCAGTAAAGAGTGAGAGGAGTTTAAGCAATCCTCTTTGCAAAAATGAGTTTGCTTGTTGATCCATGGTTAAAATGTTTCCAGGGAGAAATTTCTTACTGATACATCGAGTGATATACACGGCTTTCAGATCGGTTTTTCCTGACTGTCATGAATCAATTAAACGCACATGTTTAATTTCGGTTCACCTAGTTAAGATCTTTCTTCTTCTGTCGATTTTAAAGGATTGCATTTTCAAGAAAACATCAGATAGCACTGGACTGCGTGTCTTCTGGAATGGAAATCTTCGTCTCGCTAACTGCCATCATTGGGACGGTGGTATTTCACTTTCAACGGTGCTGAGTGTTCAGTACCAGCAGCCATTGACGGTATAGTCTACATGATATATGGAAACAGCGGCAAAAAGAATTTGCACCGTGTACGTCACATTGAAGGAGTCTGTGAGAAAATCCACAAAGGTACTGTTCGCGTGGGATTCTGGGTCGGCAATTGTGCTGGTTACGGATCTGCTGATGCTCAGACAGGCTGGAACTCAGTATCCCGGATCTATGTGGAAGAATTACCTCCGCCACAGGCTTAATAGCAGCACGGTCAGAGTTTCTGTTTCACTTTCAAAGATGATCATGAACAGAGTAATATTTCGGGGGTAATCAGTAAGCAAACTGAAATAAATTTTGATTATCAGAGACAGGAGTTTAGGTTTGCGCAGAAAATCTGTTTGAAAGTTGTAGGATTTAGAGCTTACATTATGTTCACTATTGTCACAAGGTGACAACAATGTTAGAGCAACTTTTTTATATTACTAAATAAATGGGCTTTAACATAAAATAAATAGCGTGCATTCTGAATTTATACTACCCTTCGGGACCTTTGACTGTGTTGCAGGCGCTTGTAAGTATTAAATGAGCGCAAGAAAGAACGGACAAGCGAGGGAGTCCGTTCTTTCTTGCGCCCATTATTTCCGCCTTTTTTCTGATTCTTTAATTTATCATTCAGTGCTATTTTCCTGCGCTTATATTTCTACAAATTAATGAACTGAAGTCAACATTAAAGTCAGAGCAAATGATATATTTTCAGCTGATGGTACCGTGAGAATCGAGGCACCCAACGACCGAATGTTTTAGAAGCCTGTGTGGTAAATTTGTAACTGCCCTAGATACTATTTATCTGTTCGGATTTCTTTGGTAAACTCTGGTCGTCTCGAAAGTTTTAGTTGGGTAATCTCATCTGAAACTGTTAGCTACCCTGATGGGCCCGGTCGAAAGTTCCAGAACATGGAGTAGCGGCACCTTAAATAGAAGATTCTACGGAACGTTTTGAATTTTTACCGAAATATTTAGGAGACCCTTTTTTAACAATAATAATCTTGGTTACCCTGGGTGCCAGAGGATTTTTTTCCTGTTGTTCGCGGCCAAAATTGAGCGGTCGAGTCGATGGCGATTGCCTCGCTTTGAGGCGCCTGCTCACGTTTTGCCTCATTTTCACGCGCTAACTCACGCGGTGATTCGTGTGTCCTCGGGCGTTCATCTTTCAAACGTTTGCTGAGGTCTGCTTTTCTGTCTTCGTAAATCGTTCATCTTTTAAAAGTGTGCTGAATCTTCGTAAAGCGTACATATTTTGAGTTTGCTGAAGGTCTACTATCGATCTGTGTTTAATGAATCTTCCAAAGCGTTCATCTTTCAAAAGTGTGCTGAAAATTTACACCCCGACAAGAGCCATAGTTGGTCCTATTATGGCTCTTGACCCTGAGTAAAATTTTACTTTGGATTAAGCCTTCATATATTTCTTTGGAAAATGTGTGCTACTCTGGTGCATGCATCAAACCGGGTTGTTTAGCTCGGCGTCCGTTGTGCTACAAAGTAAATTTACCGGAGAGTTATGTGACTAACATACCGCCGAAAGTACAATTCAATCAACAACGTCTTTTGACCAAAGCATTTGGTGTTCTTGCGCACGCATATATTGGTTTTCTATCGAAAACGTTATTGCAGGATGTCTAAATAGAAAAAAATCATTGTATTCTTTCTTTATAATAAGTCTGGCGGCAGGCATGAGGCGGGGCAGGGTGGGTCCTAAAAGGACTAGTCATGTGGGCGGCTGAAGGGAACATTATTTAGATAAAGAGAAATCAGGGGACACCTTTTGACCAGTTATTACCTAAAAAATTGTTTGATGGATTCGAGATAAATAAACAGCACCTTACTTGCAGTGAGTATTTCAACTAGCTGGCGTTCTTGCATTTGAATTGTAAAAGCAGTCAGCAGCCTCTACCTATTGTTTTAATTCTGAGCCAGGATGATACTGTGAGATTAAGAGTAAGATTTACATAGCAACAGCACTTCTCTCCGAAGAAGAAAGCTGTTTCGTTTAATTTGAAAAGTAGAGCTGAATATCTCTGTAGATACAGAAAGATAGATTTCCGGGGAGGGAATTGTCGTATCAAAAAAACCGTGCCCGTAAGTTGGAAAATTGGAATTAAGCCCTTCAATTGGGTGTGGCTCCAGCTTGATTTCACCACTGACTCGTCCCCAGTCGTCTCTTATTATTTTGTGAGCGGTCAAAGAACGGTTGCGGGAGACTATTAGACACTGGTGCGAAGGGGACGATGGGAAGGTGAAAGCGGAAATGAAGTATTTTTCCTCCTTCCCATCATCCACCGCACTTCCCTTTACCGCGCTTCTCTCGTTAATATTAATAGGAGACTGAGAGAACTGGGGACGAGTCAGGATTTGACCCCAATACCCCAGCACTATGACGGCATTTGCTACTTTTATTTAGCTTAATCTTTATGCACAACCCAACGCAATTTTTTATGGGTTAAAAATAATCGCTTTCCTTTCTGAACACCCTAAGTCAGACCAAAATCTGAAATTTCTTCTCTCAAAGTGACGACGAGCATCACCTTCATTTTCATATGGGAATCCGGCATACAAACAATTACTAAAAAATTACATCGATTCGAGATTCTTTCTGCCTTGAAACTTTCGCGCACCGGCTTTATTAGGCTGCCTCCTCGCATCCTCGCGTCTTCGCGACGTTGTTCGTTGGCAGTAACTTATTTCTACTTACAGTGGACTCCGATAACTCGAACCCTCAAGGGAAAACGAGTTTTCGGGAGCTCGAAGAAAATATCCGGGAGTAAGGAAAAGAACAGTTTTTACGGCACAGTAACCATTTAATCACGTTTACTTGTAGAAATGTCAAATGAAAATTGAAAGATTCTTCATGATTATAAATCAGAATGTAACGTAACAAATAGCCTAATTAGAGAATGCGTTTTACTGTTTTGAGAAGTAAAGCTGTTTCACGTTAGATTTGTGGCAAACAACATCAGCCTCCACTAGTAAACTATAATATGCCTACAACACGTCAATGGGAAATTCAAAATTCAATGTTTCGGACGCCATTAGACTTTTTTCCCCGACTTTTTGAGGTTTTAAGGGTTCAAAACTCCATGGTTCGAGTTATCGAGGGTAAAATTACATAGAAATGCCCCTCAGGGGAAACAAAAACTACTTCGAGTTAGCGGGAGATTCGAGTTTCCGAGGATAAAATTACAGTAAATACATGACGAAAATCCAGGGGGAATCTATTTTGGTTAGAGATAGCGCGAGGTTCGAGTTATCGGGAGTGAACTGTATTCCTTCCTGGGCGTGAGTAGCGCGACTGAGTTCGGAATGCAAGGCAGTAGCTGACTACATTTGAAACACACTCCAAGCCGTGGAATGCCTAAGTGTAAGATCGCGAGGAAATACGAGTTGAACCAAAATTAAGGGAAATCAGTTTTTTTACCTAATTTACTACCGTACATAAACACCTAAGGTTCATTTCGTTTCTAGTAGCTTCTAGTCTCGACTCCTTTGACAGTGTCTGATCACAAGTATCGATCATACAATCAATACAATTGAGCTAATTGTCAGCGAAGTTTGTTTGTAATTATAAATCATTAAAAATTTCACTGTTAATATTATAATGGAACTATATTTTTAACAAATTCATGCTTGAATCAGACGTTTAAGAGTTAGATGGATTTTTTTAAGATGGAGGAACTGGATATCAGTTTCGGTTAATGGTCAATAGAGTAGGGTCCTATAATATCACCTCAAAGCTCAAGATTTCAATTGAATTTGTCAAATTGAAAGTACAGTCTTTATTTTGAGCACTGGACCAGACTCTGGTCGGCTAAAAGAGCAGGGGTACCCAACGAGAATATAGTTCAAAACCACTTAAACATAGCATTGTTAAACGTATTTTAGTATTTAAACGGTAGATATAGGCATATTTACATCCCCTAAAAATTTTTCATCTGTTCGGATTTTCTAGCTGAAAGTCTAGTGATCCGAAAATTATAGGGATCAAAACTTACCTTTTCGAAAATTTCAGCCAGAAAAAAGGCTCCCGAAAATTCTAGGTGACCTTTTTAGGGTAAAAACCCGTTAAAAATAGGCAATTATACCATTTTTTAGATGTTCGAAAATCCTAGGAGAGACGGGCAAGCAAGAAATTTTACAACAAATGTTTAGAAAATTCTAGATCTCAAATCGTCTTCCGAACAGATATTCTTCCGAAAATTGTCGTTGGGTGCCCCTGAAAGAGGTCCACACTTTAGTATCAAAGATAGAAGCAGACATCCTGTAGGCAAGAGAAATACTTCCGCCACGACAGTTTCATTTTTCTAGTACGTAGTCGAAAGGTGCTATTTATTATGCAACCTATTGCCTACAGTGTATGTTACTGGAATGCAAATTTTACATCAGTACTTCAAAGTAAACAATTCAAGCAACACGCTCAATTTTCAAACAAACAGACCATGACAATGATTTCCGCATCCGATTTTTTGAGTAAATGTTTTAGTAAAATGTGAAAACTTCGCACAAAGCCGGGCTCAACTACCTCGCGACTCATTCATGTTATGCCTTGTATCCGTGACTATCTTAGAAGATGACATTTTCAAAACTCAGTAAAGAGGAAGACCGAACACAGCATCGCGTTTTGAATTTTTTTAGACGGCTTTAAGTGAAGAACTGGCCACGTTTACATTGAGAATACTATAGACCCATGCACTAAAGCACTCGTGACAGGCAGAGACGACAATTTATTAAACAAGTATACTGGCTGGTCTAAAGTTTAAGAAAGGGTCCTGTTTGAAATTGTTAGTATCGTTTTTAAGTTACTTGAACTTGTGTTTCGCGCTAACAGAAAACAAACTTGCCGTAACTGACGAGTGAATGCGTAGAAGAGCGCATTTCACTGGCGTCAGAAAAAGAAAACACATAGTGAATAATCCAAATATACTATGTACAATCCAGTTCAGGCGTAGTCGTAAAACTTGGACTTCTCTCAGAACTGCATTGTTCATGATATAATAAAGCTTCTATAAAACCGAAATCGATCAAAGAAAAAAAAAATTCCCTCGTCACCCTCATCACCCTCCCCACCCGTTACCCCACCTTTGCTTCTCACTGCCCCACCCTCCCTTCCCTAGCCCAATTACTCTTCTAAAACCTCTCTTTCCTTATTTATACATGCAAAGAAAACAAAGTGGAAATTTCTCTTCGCTGGAATCGCGATTTTTCAAACCACTTTGCATGGGAAAGCAAATTTGTTCCAGTTATCGGCATTTTGAAGATCGGTGGTAAACAGTGTTTGGTTGGTGAAGGGAAGCTAGGTTTGCTTCAAAATATGGGGAATTTCAAGACACTGAAAGTTCGAGAATCGTGATTCTATTGTACTTTACCGATCGCTCTGAACAACAGTAAAGCAAGATGGCTTGAAAGAATCCTTGTTTCGTTCAACAAGAAGTTGCATAATAGGTTAATTCCTCTCAGCTCACGCTGACTCATAAATTGTCTCATAGAAGACGAAACCTTGATAAATGGCCGGATATTTGGAGGGTATGTATTCAATAGTTTTATCATGTTAAAACTTGGACGGAGGCTAAAATGTCGGTTCTTTTTCTAGTTTAACTACAAATTTCTCAATGCAATCGCATAGAAACCAGGAGCTCCTATCGACTGTTTTTTGTGAATTATCTGTTCGGAGAAGCAAATATTGCCTAGAATTTTCTATTACTTGAGGACTGGACGGCTAACACTTTCTAGATGACCATTTCACTCATATATATGTATTTCGAAACTTAGCTAATAAATTCGCTACGATTTTCTAAAGTTTAATTTTCACATTTCACTTCCAAAGTTATGCCATTTTTCGCGGAGAAAAGGAAACCTAAAATTTTCGGACTCAAAAATTCAAAGGGGAGCTTGAGAAATCAGAAAATGTCTCACTTTCGTAATACGTCAAACTGCATCTAAGATTTTCGGGAAATTAATGCTTAATCCCCTGCAATTTCGAAAATACACAAGTTCCCCTAGGGTGACCGAACAGATTTAAATTTTATAACGGCACTTAGAAATCATTTCTAGACATCTAAAAGCACTCTGGATTGCCTAAAAAGTGTTATCAATGTATTTAGGAGGAAACCGTCCGTTGGGTGCCCGTGAGAAACCGCATTCGCATCAGTTGCGGATTCCTTTCAATATCATTTCGATTTTACACTTTCAATTTTAAACTTCGGAATACAAAAAAAACTGAACTATTAAATATAACCCAGTTTCCAAAACTCGACGTATAGCGACAAAGAATCTCTGATCGGGAATAGAAATTAAAGTGATCGATCGATACAAAAGAGCCACGCGTCATAAAATCTATCCATTTTCGCAGTCTTTTTCCCTCAGTTTTACTCACGCCATCATCCCAATACATATGCGTTCTTAACCAAGAAGAGGTACGTAAGCAAGTAAGACGAAAAATAAACTGGTCAGAATCTGAAGAAATATTAAAAGAAAAATCGTCCAAAAACAAGGACAGCAAATATATATCATCGAGCTCGAAAAATCTTCAATAGATGGGTTGTTAAAGAGAGATTTCGGGTTACGTGTGACTTATGAAGCAGATCTTGAGTGAGAGCGAACGTGTAATAAGATTTAGAAGTCTTAGAAGTTCCACGACTTTCTCCATAGGCGTACGGGCCGGGGGGGGCGAGGGGGGCTGCAGCCCCCCCCAAATTTTGGGCAACTCAGATTTTTTGGGCAACACGAGAAAATTTGGGCACAGCCAGTTTTTAAAGACGTCTCCATGTTTTTATTATTATTTTGAAGAGATAAATATTTTCTATTTTAACCTGAAGTCGGCGTAATAATCCAGTTACATTGACACGAGACAGTGTCTGCCTAGCCTCCCACGCAGGCATTTCTAGGGGAGCTCGTTTTTCATCCCTCCCCACAAAGTTGTCTTCCGTTGAGCAGGCGTTTGTGGGGAGGGATGAAAAACGAGCTCCCCTAAAAACGCCTGCGTGGGAGGCTAGTGTCTGCCTAGCACGTGACGAATTTCTGGTTATAAAGGAAAGGTATCATATGCTGATTTATTTTTTATTGTTGGGCACTGTACTGCAATGGGCTATTTCCAGTCGTGAATTGATTGGAATAAACTTCCGTCAAACTTTCTAGAATCATCTCTGCTCGTAGAACACTGTATGGCAGATAGCATCAGCAGTGGGTCTTAAAGTGAAGAAGTGGCTGACTAATTCTCAGTTTGAATTGCGAGAAGCATCTTGATTTTTTTAAAAAGTCTATCAAGCGGTTTAAAAATTATTCAATAATTTGTTAAAGTAGACTGACATGTTTACAAAACCGCTAACAAGAGCGCCATGATACATACTAATCAAATCCTTCTTTGTAGCAATTGGCCGGAGCTATCTCCACGATCTATCAACCACGTTTTTAAAAAGATTGAAACTACTATGAGGTGAAATATCATGTCAAAAGCGCATCGTTTTCTACAGATAACGGCCAAACATCAAGATTTTCCTTTTTTTACCGTATTTCCAACGATAAAAACTTTATCCCAAAATATCTCGATAACGCTCTTACAGATTCCGTTTTAACTTGACGAACGTCGAGGCGACTATTGGAGGAAAAAGCTCCTGTCATCGATTTTAGAAGAACAGTTCCCAGAGAGAAATATTGCTGCAAGTATAATGGGTAATGGCTTCAGTTCGTTGCTATAACAACTCCGATGTCATTGCAACCCTGATCCCAACAAATTTTCATCTTTATCTGATACAACTGTGGTGGTAATTTGTCCAAATGTTTGTTTATGGCGACAAAGTTTATGCTCAAATTTGGCAGTTATTGACCCTGAAAAACTGTATGGAGCCATTTTCATATGTCAATGCTGCCTATGTTGTTGCATCGGCCCTCGTTTCTGTTCGACTGTTTTGTAAAAATTTGGGCAACTTGCAAAAATTTTTTTGGGCAAATGGTTTACCGCCCCCCCTGGCAAAAAATAGCCCGTACGCCTATGTTCTCGTTTTCACATCGTCAGTATGAAAAGTGTTTTCACCCATTAATTTGCGACTCAAACCAATTCTGGATTGTTGACGCCATATGAAAATTCAGAAAGATATTAAATTTAATAATCTCCCAGAGAATTCGTCCTCCGGTCTTAAAGAGACCCGACGAGAGTGCAGTATCAGTGTTAATTAAGAAACTAAATATTACAAAAACAGGGACTCCAGTTTTCTTCTGTTTTTTCCAAGTCCGAGGTAATAGATCCATGATTACCCTTCATGTATGCTGTGGCTCGCAGTAAGAGATGCCATTTCATTGGATTGGATCAATTACTGACTGACAAAAAACAGTAGAGCCAATAGCATTGCTCGTTGGAACATGGGTACAATGTTCTCTTAACTTGTTCCTGCGAGCATAGAATGATGATGCATGAATATCACAAAATAGTGGGAAGAACGAAGACAAGACAAGAATTAAGGCTTAAAAACAAAAATAGGGTAGGTTTGTATATTTTTACTTAACCGTGGATTCTTTAAAAGATACGTGTCGTATTCATAGTAATCACAATTTTCCTATTTCCCTTACTCTGCAGTCCTTTGATTTGTCCACTGAGACAACTGCGGTGCAACTGGAAATCTTAGAGGTAGGTTGAATGCCTCATAATAAATTAAACCGTGTCTGTGCGAGGTTTTGAAAAACATCTCCGTCGACTTTTTTAGAAAATGTTTTAGAAATGAACTCGTCAAAAGGCGAATATTATAAGAATGGTCAATTCTTCTAAAACTGATAAATCGTCCCAAAATTAAGCGTTTTGCAGTCTGATAATAATTTGGCCTCTCGTTGTATTAGCTTAACTCTCTAGAGTGAATTCAGTTAAAAATTCTTAACTTGAACAGTGCTGCACACTTTACACTTTTCCGATTTTTCAAATTTTTGTTTTAAAGCTTGCTACCATGTGTTAATCATTCAACATATGATGTTCAGTCTATCAAAAAAGCGTTGCAGTGGTTCTTTTTGAGTTGTGCCAAAAATCTAAAAAGAATTCTTCATAACTGACTGAGCTAATTCAAGGAGTCAAAAGTGTCCGAGTTAAGATTTAAAAAGAGAGAGAAAGAAACAAGGATATCTTTCAAGAATTTCACTGTCTGTGTCAGCAGTTAAAACCCCCTCAACACAAGAACCTGTTTAGCCTAAAATTTTAAACAGGTTCTTATTTAAAAATGTTTTTAAAAAATTTTGTACGCTTGGAAAATAAAAAAAACAACATTCAGGATCCCGTTTGGAGACATAGGTGATTTATCAATCCAACTGGAATGTATTGGTATGCCGGTAATTTCATAAGGGATAAGCTGAACACAACTAAATACTCTTAGCTACAATGTATTTTTTCATTCACAAATGAAAGCAGCCTAAATTTCATATGTGCTATGAATTTCCATTTATGTAAGAACCTGTTTTGGCTAATTTGGGAAAATGCAACTTCTTAGTCGCGGTTTTTACTGAATAGCCTCTAAAGCGTCTTCAGGACAGTTACACTGATAAATATTTTGAATGGCAAATCTGTCGCATGGAAAACAGTTTTCCAAACATTACATTTGCTGATAATAAGAATGATTGTCTTCACATTTCGTCAAATTATCACGTCAGTGCCCTCAGTTCAAACTTGGTTTAACTTGTATCTCAAAGGAAGTTTACATAGTTCTCATCATTTGCCGGTTTTCAAAATAATTGCTTAACGTCATGGAGCCTTCCAACTCGTTTTAACTTGCAACTTAAATAAAACAAAAGCAGTACATGACTCTTTTCAATTCGTCAATTAAGACCGACTGATTTACATGTAACCAATAAGAATACTTCTAGTAACCTACATTTAACAATCTTTCAAACTTGTCCAAAACACGTTTTTACGTAAACTTGGTCAAAATAGGGCATAAAAACCTTCGTACTGTCGAAAACATTATCATTCGTCTTGGGATCACTACAGTCATTCATACCAGCAAGGTAGGACTTGAGTCAATGTTTCCAACAATCTTTTATATCAAAACTAATATACTCAGTTTAATTAAACAATAGCTTGGAGTTCTTTTCACGTGGTTTTAATTTGAACTGTTTCTTTTCACGAAATATTTAAATGTAAGGCTTACTGCTACTAATTTTGTTTAGTTGCGCTTAAATCTTAAACAAACGCTTCAGCGAAATGTCCAAAAGTTTTAAGCGTCCGTGTAAGTTCGATATATAATTGCAAGGACATGGTAATGTTTTCAAGTAATGCTAAAAGCTGACCTGAAATTGATGAATGAAACCTGATGAAACTGATATTTTTGCTCCAAAACAAATAGTAACTTCGCCACAGATCATCAATTCGCGTTGCTTGTTATCTGCATTTTGAATTTTTTTTTTTTTTAGCAAATCATTGAAACCGATGCCTTTTTAAAGATATTACGTTTTTTGCAGGTTCGTAGCGCCCTTTACGCAAATACAAACGTGCATACTTGAGAAATTGCTAGGATTTTTTTTAAAGATTTTCTGTTATAAGTACTCCTGGTAAAAGCTATATGTAGCTTCGCCTGACTTAAGTTTGTTTTGTGCAGATTTGTTCCTGTCTGTCTTGCTGTTATTCCGCATCGTTTTTACCGGTAAAAAAAAGAGCAGTTTGAGTAGTGGAATGTGATAAATTCGAGCGAGACATTCTTGAAATGTTTACCTTCAGGCGATCCCACAATACATTGCGTGCTCATGAAAAACGGAAAAGAATTTCTGTTCACCTCGCTGATTTTTCTTCCTTTGTTGATTTTTAAGGAGTGCATTTTTAAGAAAGCATCAGACACTACTGGGTTGCGTGTCTTCTGGAGTGGCACTCTTCGTCTCTCCAACTGCCATCATTGCTGCAGGCGATGGTATTTCACTTTCAACGGTGCTGAGTGTTCAACACCAGGTGCCATTGACGGTGTAGTCTTCATGGTACATGGAAGTGGTACGAAAAAGGATTTACACCGTGTACGTCACATAGAAGGAGTCTGTGAGAAAATCCACAAGGGTACTGTTCGCGTGGGATTCTGGGTCGGCAATTGTGCTGGTTTCGGATCTGCTGATGCTCACACAGGCTGGAACTCAGTATCCCGGATATACGTGGAGGAAGTACCTCCCCCGCAGGCTTAATAACAGCTGAGCCACAGTTTTTGTTTCACTTTCAAAGATAACCGTGAACAGAGTAATATTTCGGGGGTAATCAGTAAGAAAACTGAAGTAAATTTTGATTATTAGAGCCAGGGGTTTACTTTTTCGCATTAAATCTCTTTTGAAAGTGTAGGGTTTCAAGGCTTCAGAAGTTTACATTACATGTTACAAGATAACAACAATGTTTGAGCGACTTTTTGTTATCTCAGTTAATAAAAGGGCTTCAAAATAAAATAAATTGCGTGAAATATGAATTTACTACCCTTCCCGACCTTTATTTTCCCTTTGTTATCTTCTTCCTGATTCTTTGGTTTATCATTTAAGATTATTTTTCTGTGCATATTTTTTACAATAAAGTAACAGAAGTCAGCATCAAATTCAGAAAGATAAGTTATCTTCAGCTGATGGTACAAAAAAGGGGCACTCAACGAGCGATCGACCCTGACAACTTTGGTAAATTTGGAGGTGCCCTAAATACTATTTATCTGTTTGGATGTCTTAGGGGAGGTTTAATCGTCTCAAAAGTTTGAGGTGGCGTTTTAGTCTCATCTGCTCTGAAACTGTTAGCTACCCTGATGGGTCCGATCGTAAGTTTGAGGACATGGAGTAGCCGCACCTTAAATAGAAGATTCTACTTCGGAACGTTTTGAATTTTTACCGAAATATTTGGAAGACCTTCTTAAACAATAATCGCGCGCAATATCTTGGTAATAAAATGTGAAGAACGCAAACTCCCAAACTGAAAAAAAATTGTATGAAACCGAATATTTTAGATGAATGTAACTTTTGTCCACAAAATTCTAGCGTTTCCCGAGCTTAAGAAAGATTTCGCGGTATGATTTTCTCTTTCGAACCGAAATTTGGCTGGAATTTCATTTTGAAAGTGCGGCCGTGGGACTGTCGTTGCAAAATGCTACTCATAATTTTACACGTAAAGAGCTAAAACTGGGCTCGTATGAAGAATAGGGTTCAGGAAATAAGACCGCGATTATATAATGCTGAATTCAGAATAGAGAAAGGTCTTTTCACACTCAAATTTTAGTCACAGCCGCTTCGCCGCGGATGCCAAACCTTCACTCAGGAAATCAAATTGTTGCTTGACCTTATTCGTTTAATGAGGGAAAATATTTGACTGTCAAGGATTTTTTGCCGGATGTGGTAACATTTGAATCTTCCGGTAAATTTATTCCTTTGTTGGGGAAAAAGAAAAGTGTTTGACCAGAGATCAAAACGGTTTACTAATTGAAGAAATATTGGATCGGTAACTTTTGCGCATTCCCGAACTTTAAAAGCTACAATTTAGCATCTGGAACACTTGAACTGCAGCCTGATCGTCAAGCACTTAAAAAGGGATGTTTGGGTGTTTTTGGCTAAGCAGAAGAGCTTCCTTTTGGCTAGACAGAAAACGACTTGGCTAGCATCAAAAGACATGTGTCAGCAAAATTCCCAATTGCAAATGGGTTAATAGTAAAAATAATGCTGATGACGATGATGATGATAATAATGATAATAACAATCGAAAAAGGAGAAGCTTATCATTTAGTTCCAAAGTCCATTTTATTGCTGAATATACGGGTAATTTGGAAGGTGAACACTGCTTTGGATTTAGTTTAATCTTTTGAACTCAATAATGATGGTCAATAGTGCTCAAAATCAATTTTCTCCTAACGATATCCATAGACTATCATGAGCAAAGTCTATGAAAATTAACAAAATGATCACAAAGAGAAAAATATTTGATCTTTTACCAAATTCTCTCAACTAATTCTTCAAGGAAATGTATGGAGATCAGTTTGGAGAATTTGTATGTGGATATGGGGACTTAAAGGGTTAAGAAATACATTTGTATCAAGGTCTTTAGTTAAACTGGGAATGCACTTTTCCAGAAAGTTTCCATGACCACCCATTAAGCCACAAGGATTATACCTGAAAAGTTATACATCAGGCCTCAGTTGTTCAAAAGTTGGATAGCGCTATCCACCGAATAAATCACTATCCCATGAATAAGCGTTAGGGAGACCAATTACGCTATCCAGTGGATAGTGTTTTATCCAGTGGATAGCGCTATCCACCTTTTGAACAACTGAGGCCTGTACTTTTAGTTGTGTTACAAAGACTACTGAGGAAGAGAATGAACCATAAGAACAAGTTTAAAAATAAAGCCAGGGTGATTAAATATGTTCTCCAAGTGTTAAAACGTAGTAAAGAATTCCTCTCACTCTCATTACCTCATGAGGTAATATTATGAGGAACATGCAAAAAGTTAAAATTGGTTACATTTAAGTTGTTCAATACTATTCTACATCTGCTGCACAGCAAAATCGAGGTGTTATGGTAACACCAAAAAAGTGTAAATTTTTGCAGCTGTGTGAACACCAAATAGGTGTTCAGTTAACACTACTGTCGTGTATATTTACACCAAAATGGTGTAAATATGACCTACATACGATCCTGAATGCGTTTAAAAACACCTTTGCAGTGTTACAGCAACACTGACCTGGTGTATATTTTCTCTATATTGGTGTTTAGTAACACCAAAATTGGGTTAACGTAAACCAGTTTTGGTGTTAAAAAACACCAAAAATATGTCTCCTTTACACTGTTCTGGTGTTTTTGTTACACTAAAAAAGAGTAATGATGACACTGAATATGTGTAAAACCCATTGCAGCTGTGTGCACACCAAAGTCAGGTAAATTTACACTACTGGGAATTTTACACTATATTAGTGTAGATCAACACTTCCAATTGTGTTATAACACACCGTTTGAGTGCTGAGCCAACACTATTTGTAACTCATGAAGAAGTCTTAAAAGTAGACAAAGTAACAGCTACGACAACAACCTGTAAATTTGCTCCCATTTAATTGCTTTACCCCGATAGTAATAAAAACTTTGTTCTCTTCAGAATTCAGTAAAACAGCACGAATTAAAACAAGTGTTAAAAACTAAGAGGGCTGTTCACCGTAGGTCTTTCTTTTCTAAGACGTTTTAGTTTTGCGGAGGATGAGAGCACACTGCATGAGAGAACGATTTTCTCATGTATAACCTTTTTTTAAAAATTCAAATATTAATATAGTCCTATACAGAACTACAGAAGCCGGAGAGATGAAATTTGAAACAACGTGGATCTTCTTTTTAAGAAACGTTTTTGCCACCGTCGTTGTCGTCGTTCGGCTTAGCTATTGATGTGAAAGGCAGATTACACAACAAGTCGTGCAGATTTAATTTTAGTTTGCTTTAATTGCGAGCTTGGAACTGATTCAGTTCATTCATGAGCTGTAATACCTTAGTCGGTATATTAACATTGTCCATTCAAAACTTCTCTCTGGGACAAATGAATATGAGTGTCTGCATTCTTCCGGATATTCTATATTACACACAACATATATTAGAGTGAGCAAGGCGCTGGTATGTCCTCGATTAACCTTTAGAGGGAGATTTCTTTCCCCACTCAGGTATATATCATCTGGGGCTTGCAGTTGCCCCTCAAAGATGATGAAGTGCGTCATTCCCTCCTTGCCGTTCTCGGCAACTTCATTTGCATCAACACCATTCTATAAAGAGGAAAAAAGATGCAAAAGAACACTTTCAATAAATGTGTTTTCTCAACTGCAGCATAATAAAAGTCAATAAATATTGAAATGGAAAGTTTTGTATGTTCATCCAATTCTTCAGATGGCCCGAACCTATTTATATGCACGTTGGGTATGTTTTTGAATCGCGTTTTTCATTTTTGGCATCCTTAATAAAGAATAGTGCATATTTAAGAAAATGTTGTCTTTTTTTGTGTAGGTTTAACACTGTTTGAGATATCAGCTTATGTTTAAAACCGAATTTTTACAAAAACTGTCAAAAACATCATAGAAATCGGTTGAATGGTTCCTGCCGAAAAACGAATTAGGATTGTAGTACAAGCATGAAAGATTTAGCCTGATTAAATGAGGAAATAATGTTTGCCTCATGCTCAACTTAATTCTGTTTGTGAGACTCCTTCACTGAATTGTTTCACTGCAACAGGCATTTCTCGATAAAAGGCAAGTCAAGTGTAACTTTTCCAAACTTTCCTTCCCAAAGGGTTATTAAGTTTTTGGAATCACTGTCCATATTCACATGTACTTTCTGTTCCCGTGGAATCTCTAGGAATGAGTTTGTTACTGCCACAGCACTATCTGAAGAATTGATTGACTTTGTTTTATTTTTCATCTGCAAATGAAGCAATCTTTCTTTTTCACGTTCTGTTTGACGCCAAAGTTGGTGAAACTTCTCTTGATTTTTTTTTTTTTGACAGAAGACAGTTTTTCTTCAGTTGTCTGTCTTTTCTTTTTTTTCTAAAACTAGCTCTTCATGAGCGTTTTTCTTTATTTGTTTTATTCCAAGCCTTCTTCGTTTATTTCGAGCTCGTCTCTGACGCCTTTTTGCCTCATCAGATCTTTTCCAACTAAAAAAAAAAATGCCGTGAATAATGAAAATTTGTTCAAAGGGGCTGGAAGCATTACTGTGAGTGTATTTCCTTTTTCTTAGTCTTTCTTCCGTCCTTTCTCTCTTTTTTGTTTTTCTATCCTTCTTAAGTTTTTCTGATAATTTTAGATAACTATAATTATTACCAGCTATCAATTCATCATGTTCCAAGTAATGAGCGGGCTGGCCTCTCAACTTTGGAGCTAGTTAAAAGCGGAAAATCCAACTTTACATAGCTATGGAAACCCACAACATGATGAATTGAAAGATAAAGGTAAGTTGTTTGGGAATATATATAATTGAGAACCTTACAGACATATTTTAATAATACTTTTTGCAGCCTCGATTATTGTATTACTGAACAGAACCTTACAGTTTTTGGTCTCAGGCACTTTTATCGAAAAATACAGTATATTGAAGTATCATGGGTAAAATGAATAGGATGGCTGAAAATAATATTTTTCATTACACGTATCTCTTGTGAATGATTGAAAATGTTTATACGTTCTTTTACATTGTATATG